GGCCAACATTTGGTTCACACTAAGCTCAACAAAATCAAAAGAAGTTAACGTCAGGACTTCTCATAGCTTTTAATATGCTGTTTGTTGAGACTCTCTAGGAAAGAAAAAATATATGTAGTGTTTTCTCAACATAATTGTGACCAACGAACACATTTTTCCTCCACAGAGAATTTCAAAGCATTAGGGATCTTTGAGACACCCTTTGGTGTGTTTTACTTGAAAATTTCCACCTGGATCAGACATACTGAGATGTTAAGGGAAGAAGTATGTTCATAACTATGAAAGCCATATGCATTAACCTTCTAAAGGGACCGGTGGTAGTGGAAATGAATGGAGGAAATCCCTCAGGGAGGTCTATTTCAGCAGACAATCAAGCTAATACAGCTGCCCCTCCTCACCAGGAGCATTTCATTGGTAACCTTCCAACTTTGTTTTTTTTTTTTTAAGGAGGCCTTCCCATGTGCCTGGCTTAAGTCAGACTTTTGGAAAATAAAGACACCATCAAGGAGTACAGTTAAGGGTACTGCCGTCAAGGAGTACAGTTAAGGGTGAGATAGAAAAGAGTTACAACCCGGATGTCAGAAGAGGCGGGCTGGGGCTGTCCACAAGGTGCTGTGGTATGGCCAATGGCACAGTTAACCTGGGCCAGGGTGTACAAGGAGACTTGACAAAGGCCGTGATGTCCAGGCTGGTTCTTGCAGGCCAAAGAAGGCGTGGCCAGGACAGGCAAAGGAGAAGAGCATGGGCAGAGGCAGAGAGGCCACAGGGAACAGTGTATTCAGGGGACTCCAAGTTGCTTACATAGCTAGAATGTGGGGTGTAGAAGACTGGACAGGTACAAAGGTAGCAAAACACGAAGGGTTTTGTGTGGCACCCTGCGGAGTCTGGATCTTATTCTCAGAGTGAAGGGAGATTATGAAAGGCTGTTGAATCTCAGGATGGTCTACGCTTCAGAAGCTCCCTCCAGCAGCAGTGTAGAAAAGGGAGGCAGATCAGAAAGCCAGCTCCAGGTGGCCCGGCCAGCAAGAATAACGAGGGCCTGAATGAACCAAGATGCTGGGGCGAAGCGGACAGAGGGAGTGGTAGACCATTCCTAGGCTTCAGACTTGAACAATACCGGGCAATGGTACGGCCACATAACCGAGGGAACACACGACAAGGGGCAGGTGTTTGGGAAGGGGCTCATGCATTCAGGTTTGCACTTGTTGGGTTTGAAATTCTGACAGAACGTGTACGAGATGTTCAGGAGATGGGTGGGACTCTGGGTTGAGACACAGATTTGACAGGTTTCAGGACAGAAGGTTGTTGAAGCCATAGGTGTGGAGGGCAAGGACAAGGACTGCGTGGACTAAGCAACAGACAAAACTGGCGGGAACTGCATCTCCCTCTTCCAAACGCCTACAGCATGTGCCTGGAGCTCAGACAGCATCTGTCACGCGCTGCAACATTTAGCTCTGCGCCTGTGGGCCACAGAGAGTGTCACGCTAGATGTGAGCGTACGAAGAGAAATAGAAGATCCTTTCATCCAAGGAGACTATGATGTCGTTGTGGAGAAAGAATTCTACCCAACTATTATGAAAAGGAAATGAAGAGCTATGAATATGCTGAGTGTGGAAGAGGCAATTAATCCAATGGAAGATATAACCCAGGTTTCCGGAAAAGAGGAGAGCATCTGAGTTGAGGTGGGAAAATAAGTGGATTTCGCAAGCAGGGAAGCGGAAAGAAGGCAAGTAATTTGAGGCTGGAAACTAACAGATCACAAGAGAATGGAGTGCGAGAAGCGACAGAGAGAGAGGCTGGAAGGGTGGCTTGAGGCCAGGATCCAGGGAATCCTGCTGAGATTTCTCAGGAGTCCATTTTAAAGAAGGCACAAACGGGCCTATGTACATCCAAGGGCCTGTGATGTAGCTAGCTTCGTTTCTGCCTATTCACTAATTTCAGAAATGCATTTGAGAATGATCAATCATAAATGCTAAAGGGAACCTACAAAATCACCACACTGCATTTCCATTCTGCAAAACTCTGCGTTAGTGGAACTTTAATTACTTGGCTTCATTATAAAATTTCCACTGCATGTAAGTGTAAATAATTTCACTCTAATGCACTCATTTGAATCTGTGGCTGAAAGCATTGGTAGAAATCCCATTTTTGTGGCACTTCCTTGGCACACTGAAGGAAAACAAAATGTATACTGTTAATCAAGTCCTGAGCGACTCTGAAAGCGATGGGTTGCATAAAGATAGCAAATAATAAGAGAAAAATCTATTTTAAAGATTAAAAATATTTTATTTAAACTTTTCTTCATAAACACTTTTAACATTTTTTTTTCAATTTAAAAACAGAATGGATAGCATAAACATGTTTGAATAGATTATATTCACGGCTTGGGAAAAATTACCTGACAAAAATGTAAAGGCTTTCAAAACAGGTATAAAAGGCAAACCTTAAATTATTCTAAGATTTTTAAATCGGCCCTAGGATTATTTGACTACTGGCCCAAAATGTACCTAAAGGTCAAAATATTTTTCTATAGACAAAGGATGCCCAAGAGGTAGAGGGCATATACAAGTTAGGTAGAAAATAACCTCTCTGACCACCTCACTGTAACTCTCCTTCAGAAAGCGAACACCTAATCCTTACCGACACACTGATAGACAAGGTTTTTAATGCAGTTGTTCCCAAAGATGTAAAAAGAAAATCCAAGAATATCGAGGGGGAACAAAGCAAGCTGATGGCATTCTCTCGGTGTTGCTCGTGTAACACCGAAGTTACACGGGTACATGTACTAAAAGGCTAGGACTTCCACGAGCTTACCGATTCCAGTCTATGTCTATTGAATATTTGACTTTATAAACTCTCAATAAACTAATTTTTCAGGACTTTCATTTTTAAGATAAATCTCTTTTTAGAAGATATTTATTCCCAAACCAACTCTAATCTGATTGAACAAACATATGATCCCTAAAAATGTTCAGAGTACAAAAAAAAAATCAAAAATGTGTAATAGGCAAAAAAGAAAAATGGCACTAGCAGTTTTACTGCCATATAGCCCTCAGTTATATCTAATTTACACTATTATCTATGTTGTGTTTTACTTCAGTCTAAAACTTTAAATTATGTATTCTCAAAAGAGCTAGTCTTTTCTGAGATAGCTTATAAACTGAAATATCAATTTATATTATAAACTGAAATGTTATGACCTACAACCACATATACATATATAAAAATAGTCCCACTGAACGTTTGACATGTTTAGATTATGCAGCTCAAATAATTTGTTATAAAATATTTTAAAGCTTAGTTTCATGTAATTAAGACAAAACTCTCCATTTTTACCACTTCTCCTCACACAAATGTGTGTGTCCTTTACTATGACTCGAGCAGGCTTCCCAGAATGAGGTGTCCAAAGGTGCTGCTTTAGAAAAGATAAGTGAAGGGCTCAGTCAATATTTCACAAATTAGAGTAACACGCACACAGAGCAGAGTAATGAGGACACAGAGAATGCTGTCTCAAGAAAAGCTAATAGTTCTATTAATTAAGCTTTGCTTTTTTAAAAACCAGTAGTATTTCTTCCAATATAAAACCTTCAATGTGAGAATTTTGAATTTTATGAAACGGCTGTAGTGCAATGATTTTCTTTAAGCAGACTAAAATCAAAACTGAGAGGGTCAAAGATATGGAGGAGAACAAACATTTCTAATTAAGATGTAATTAATGAAAATCGGCTATTTTTGTAAAGTCTGCCGTTTAAAATGTAAAGTGAAAACACACAAGGATCACAACAGTTACACTGTATAGTTTCCAATCTGACTGAATTTTTTAAAAACAACTATTTTGAGCACACACAATGTATATTAACAAAAATAGTTCAAAATGAAGCACACAAAAAATAAGCTTGAAAAAAATTCTATGGAAAAATTTTCCATAGTTTAGTATAACAAAAATAAATCTCTTTCAACAATTAAACCACAATTTTAAAAGGGAATGTAAGTTAATCATGGATTTAAAATAACCTATATTAGCACTACATATAAACAGGTGAGTTTTCTCAATACATTCAGAACCCAAGCAATAGCAACTATTCTTAAAGCTCAAAACTGATTACAGCTAACATCAGGTCAGACATGACTTATGTGTGAAGCTGAACCCAGAGTTAGTTCAAGTTAAGATTTCAGAAATTTTCTAAAATGTGAACTTTGATCTTGGTCTTATGTCTTGAGAATGGAGACCAAGAATATGCAACTGTTTGCCCAGACTTTACCCTAACTAGGGCTATGAAGCCATACCTAAGCAATTAAAGAGAACCACCACTGGTGTGTGAAGTATAAAAGCCTGATGGGGTACCCTGTCTCGGTTTTTTCCAGCAAAAGACAACGATGAGGAAAGTAATGAAGATGTTATTGTTATTTTCTTTAAAGCAAGACAGCACAGACACAAAACACTAAACCAACTAATGTATTAGAAAAAGAATTAAATGGCTAACCTAATGCCTAACTTTCAAAAGTAAAATGATTAAAAATGCTTTTTAAAAGGTAGAAAAAGACTTTTACTCATATTACTATGGCAAACAAGATACTGAATTCCATTTTTAGAAAGTGAAAGTAAATGACAGAACCACTTAATAAAAATTTAAGTCTCATATACAAAAGAATATCATTAACTTGATTTCTTAAAACCAAGGCCAATGTTTCTTTCTCTTTCTCAAAAACTACTTGTGTACCTGACTGTTTCTTAAACTCAAATGCCTCCGGTTTTGGAGTTTTAAAATCAGGTGTTTTTCTTCATAGTTATCTAATTGCCAAAAACAAACAAAAAAAAACCAAAAAAAAAAACCAAAAAAACAAAAAAAAAACCAAACACCCAAAAGTCTTCACATTTCCGTGACTTCACTCTTCCATTTTGTGTTCAGTGGTGGCAGCAGCAAAAAAAAAAAAAAAAAAAAAAAAAAAAAAAAAAAAAAAAAAAA